TACATTTTGCCATTGAAAACACCTGATGTCTGATAGGTCTCTCCTGAGGGAAAAACCTATACCACACAGGAAGTGATGTGTTTTGCTTGAAATAATCAGAAAGGAAACTGGTTACTCTGAACGTCCACTAACTCCGGCGCGTTACAGCTGCGCCACGATTTTGATCCATCCATGGCCCAGTGTCAAAGTCCACTGGAAGCGTCTCAGCAGCAGAACGTATAGCCTGAACCACGTTATTGACTTGTTATTAATTTGTCCTTTTTGTGCTTCATCTACCTTCTTCGCAGCTCTCTGTAACCTTGTTTCGTTCCGTCGTTTGCAGGCTGCATTTCGCACAAGGAGCATTTCAGAATCAGAGCATTTTGTCTGCCTGATTTTGCTGACATGTTTAGATTTTGTTGATTTGGTAATCAGTGCTTGCTTTTTGTGCTTCAACTTTGATTGCTTTGATTTGCTATGTAGTTAAATGGTTTCTTTTTTGTCTGATTTAACTGTGTTTATTGTTGTTTTACAATCGAGAGTCTCCACGGTGTGTTTTATTTTGAAAACTGACCAAATTCTCTATACTGTTCTGTGTCTGACTTACTGCCTGGTTAGAATTGCTCTGTGCAGCTTGAAGCGACTTGCGTCAAAAACAGACCCGCTACCTATTCTCTGTGGAGCAGAGCAGAGAGCCGCTTCTGGGACGCGGTGCGGCCACGTCTGATGGACTCACAAGTATTGACTAGAATGGCCGCGATTAGCTCCGGTAACCACGGTGCCGCTGTAATGCAATGCAGCCGGAGTCAGTGGACTTTAGGCTTTAGTGTGAACACCATGGTTAAACAGACAATGGGAAAATTCAAGAGAAAAGACAACAGAGTACTGAGCTGTTTGAATGACAGAAGAACTCAGACTTCCAATTTAGAAATAATGCAGCAATCAGCACTTCAAAAAGGGTACTTGTGCACACTCTGCCAAACGCTGTTTATGAGGTAAAAGAAGCATCACTCTGTACAACGGTAAGTGGCCTGAGCGTTTTTTGTAGCTCCCCATGAGAGTGGTATCTTCGTTGTAGCGGATTGCTTCATGTTTTGTTTTTTTAAGGGTTGCAAATGTCCTAGTTAATCTTTTATTCATAACAATAAATTATGCTTAAGCTTAAAAAGTTTTGAAACAGCACATTCAGTATTTCAGGATCAGGTAGGCTAGCTTGTGAAAAAACAGGTGTCAGACTAACCACAACTGTTATTTCATTGTGTCAGATTAATATTTAATCATCATTTAGCTGAAAAGAAGCATCTGAATGACAGCATTGGCAGATCAGAATCAGGGCCAATTAAACTCCAGACATCCCTATACATTGCCAACTGTTGTAAAACATCCTTAATCTAAACCTGAGCCTTAAAGGGATTTTGACAAGGGATTGTCTAAATCTGAGCAGTGCAGATTAAAATTAAATCAGCATCCAAATATTTGTCTGAACTTTGAAAACCCCTATCTACGGTGTTGATAAAGAAAAAGAGCTAGCCAAACCGGCATCACAGCTTGCCAAATATAAATAAATCACTGACATTGATAAGAACCTCAAACAATCGCCAACTGTTGTTGAACAGTCGACAGACAACAGAATCATCCATCTACCCAAATCTAGCTAATACCCACCACTGTGCTCTGTACCCTATATCTCATGGAAAGGCTCTAAACACTCCACTCCCAAATCCTTCACCTGATGCTTAAAGGACAGGCTGAGCGGTTGTAAGGACAACAGCAAAAAACAGCATATTCTGTAGCCTAATTATATTCTCGGTTGATTACTTGTTTGGTCTATAAAGAAATGCTTGTTTTGCCCAACCAACAGTACAATATGTTTACTACCACATAAGACAGAATTTGATAAGCTAAACTAGAGAATCAAATCAATTGAGAAATTGGCAATGGAGAAAATAACCACACAAACATTTCTGGATAATCCAGCATATTAAATACCCTACCTGAAAAACAAAATTACATTAATCAAAAATCGTATAACAATTAAATATAACCATAAAGAAGCCCTGCTCATTGATTTGCAACATTAACCACAATAGGCGCATACAGATATTAAAGGGTAGATCTACCAGTGTAAACAGCATGGCAGAAATTTTTATGTTAGACAAATTTATAATCCATAATAGGCCTACCAGTTGAACCCATATTGAAAACAATTGTTAGTTGCAGCCCTACTAGTCTCTTTTCTGACATTATCATTATCCTCCTACTCATTTTGCTCAGTCAGGTTTTGATAAACCACAGTTTACAAGACCATAACTGTCTAGGGGACAAAGACTCATCTGGTGTATGACACATCACACTTTAAATGTTTGCTCCTAAGATCACTTTCAACACATAAGATGTTAGAAACTGTGACAGTCTTCATTGTATATGGCCTAATTGTTGTATCTGTGTTGTAATGAGACATCCCTACAAGAATCACTTTAGGGCTGCAAGTAATGATTATTTTCATTATCAATTAATCTGCCCTATTCTGACAATTAATTGATTGACCATTCAGTCTCTGAAATAAAAAAAAATTGTTACAATCACAATTGAGCCCAAAGTGACATCTTCAAATTGCTTCTTTCAAAACTCAAAAACTCTTCCTTTACTATCATAAATGACAAAGAAAAGCAACAAGTCCTTACATTTAAGAAGCTGGAAGCAGCTAATGTTTTTGCTTGAAAAAGGACTGAAACAATGAAACGGTTATCAAAATAGAAGACAATTAATTTTCTTACGATCGACTTATTGATTAATCGACTAATTGTTGCAGATCTGAATCACTTTAAAAACAAATAAGAAGAGCACTGAATTTAAAAAAAGAAATCAAAGGGCATTGCGTCACTGAGCATCATTTTTGGTGTATGTGTCTGTACTTGTACTACCTACATAGGGAGGACCTGAACACATTTTTAACCAACAGAGTGAGGACATTTTTGGAAAGTAAGAACATTTTGGGCGGTCCTTTAAAGGGCTGTTAGAAGGGTAAGACTTGGTTTATTAGGGTTAGGGTAGAATTAGGTTAGATGTGATGGTTATGGTTAGAGTAAGAAGCTAGGGGATGCATTATGTCAATGAGGGTCATCACAAGTATATATAAGTACACGCACACACATGTAGACATGCAATCCATATTGCCTGGAATTAGCTTACGTTTTAAAATAGTGTGCTGCACCTTGAGGCCCCATGCATCTGTTATCATTTTACAACCTGCCTGTAACTCAGCAGAGTACAAACCTCCTGAGCACAATGTGCTCCACTAAGCACCTCATTACAGAAAAAGGCCCTTTGTATCCCACTAAGGTAATAATAGGTGGGTGGGAGGCACCTTTAGATGAAGGAATCACCACAGCAAAGTGACTAAGTGATTGTCCCTTTAATGACAAAACCTCTAAACTTTCCAGATTCCTAAAACTGTGACAAACTGAACTTCATGGATTCAGTGTATGTTGTATATCTCTTTAGCTGGCAACATGAGCGGGTGATGCTGACATACTATATTACCAAAACGTGATACTATGCACTCTTGGAGATACAAGGTTTTGGTCCAACAGCAGTGGGAGGGAAGTGGTCAGAGAATATGTTATTGCAGGGTGTAGCATGGTGTGTTTACTCACAACTTAGGAGAGCAGCTACCCAGTAAAATCACAATGTGCCAAAAACTGGGCAGAAACAAGTAAACATACAAACAGTGCAACAAAACCACAAAGTAGCAAAATAACATAACCTTTTCTTTAACAAAATAAAACATTAACTTTCTAATCTCATGGTTGTCATTGCTTCAAATCTACCAAAGGTACACTGTCTTTCATCATATTCTGCAGAGTCAACACTACAAAAAAAGAGACTGGAACAGTCCCTGTAATTCCAGCTCAGCACTACAAACACAGCAGTACAGCTATAATGCTTTTACACATTGTGCTAAAGTCCAAATAAAAAAAACTAGAGATTATGGGGGAAAGAAAAAAGCATCTCAGCACGTATAAAATGCATTTTAAGTCGAATCAAAAAGTGAATTTATCTTTAATTAATGGAACCAGGGAATGGGTGGAAGTATCAACAGAAATCCCTTATGTCCATTCTTAAAGATAATGCTACTCTTTTAACAGAATTAAAATAGTTATCAATTCTCATTTAAAGCAAGACTGACGATCAACTTTAAAGTGAAACACATAAGTCGAAAATTCACTACAAACAGCACTTAATGATGAAGAAACGTGATTTGAGTCTGCTGTATGAACAATAAAATTAAACAGAATGCCTTTTCTTAACACTCTGATTACTTGATAGTTGCTATCATCTGATAATACACATGTAGGATACAATATAGAATAAACCTAAATACCAAAACTTTCAACATACTGTCCAATATTGTCTATGATTCCTAAGAGTCACACAACATTTTGTCTAACTGTAGTGGCTGACGTCTATCCGGGTCTGTTCTACTCCACTCAGCTCAATGCCAATCTGTCCTTTTGTCTTTCCCGCATGCAAATAGGAGCAGCCTCATCCACATCAGACTGACAACCACCAGGAAGGAAGGCATGCAACACCACATCGCACCATCCATCTGCCTGCCACTTTCAAACGAAATCATAATAGTCGTTCATTTAATGCTGTGTAATAACCTCCATTTAAGTTATTTACCTATCAGCGTTTTTTTGATTTGCAGGTGTTTTCGCACCGGCTGCTGCAGGCAGGCATACACATGGGGAATGTGGAGGGAAGAACCCGCCTGTAACAATAACACCATACACAAAACACTACCGGGACAAGGCTAGTGTAAAAGTTGTGCTGAAATGCGAAATAGATCTGCAATGTGAAATACCATGTGGCCTCAACGCACGTAAACACGGTAACGTTATAGCAAGGAAACAAAGGGAAAAGGTATTTTATGGTTATGTGCAGCGACTAGCATAACGTCAACGGTAAATGCTAATCCAGTCTTTGGTGCCTAACCAAGTTAGTGAATTCTCTCTTACCTGATGTGGCATATCAACCTTCACTTTGTTCAGAGGCAGAGGAGGGCCCAAATGTTGCAGCCAGGTCGCCAAAATGTCCGAGCCAGTTGAGTTGAGGGCGGCTTTTTTAACAATTTCCCCACGAAGAAAAACTTCTCCATATAAAACAAAACTGTCAACAGAGTAGAAAGGATGAGTGATGAGGCTGGGCTATCTAACGGTCAGTCGGGGGGACTGTTAATTGGGTAACGTAAGAGCCCCGATGACATCCCGTTATTTCTTGCATGAACACACTGTTACGCCAAACATCATTCATTCAATAAATCTGGCAATTCAATAGTTGCCTTGTTCAAACAGAGGTAAACATATCTGAGAACAAGGCTTTAGACTTTCAGCGAATAATGTCGGGACTTCTGGGCCATTCGGCACACAAGTTACACATAATGTAGCACTTCATCCAAACAAAACTTTCAAGTTGTATAATTGTTTCCACTGCTTGCTACCCTCCTTCACTGCGCATTTTGTAGATTCCATAGAAGAACCATACTTTTAACGTGTTAGCGAAGCGCTTGCTTATGGGTAGGATTTATATATCGAATTAAAGAAAGGATTTTAACCGTTTATGATATGAAGTCGTTACATTTGCCAACACATACGGCCATATTCAATTGCCACATTTTTAAGAGGTTTCGTCGTCCCCTTTCTACACAATGAACGGACAGAACGTTCGCGGGGCTCGGACACTGGCCAACAAAACGCCAGCTGAATCCTCCTAGCCGTTCCAATGCTAAAATATCCTTTAATATTCACACACCGTGGATAGTATTATGTTAGCGTTACTGTAGTGGAGCGGCTGTGAAATGGCCTCTCTACAATGACAGTACGTCTAGGTTGGCTGAGTAACGTTACATTGTTTGTCAGCGGCATGTCAAAATATTGCAGCCCACTAGAGACCAATAACATTCAGCTAACGCTACGTTAACAGCAGCACTCGCTGCTGGCCTGAAAAGAGTGTGTGCCTGAAAGCGCTTCTTAGCAAAACGAAACGAAAAAGAGCAACACAAAAAGCAATGCTATTACAGCGTTACAACACTTTTCACTACCCGGGACACGTCCAAATGTACAGGAAAGGAAAATGACTTACATTAGTTTGCGCGAAGAACAACGTATGCATGCACGCTGTTAGTCCAGTTTTTTTGATCTGTATCAACATATGTAGCTAGACTGCACTACTCCCTAGTCCCGCCCTCACGGTTTAGCAGTCAGGCATATCTATACATATAGGCCTATATAATCTCCCCCTCCCCCAGTGACCAATCCCAGCTTTCCACTCTGGAGTAGTGTCTGCTCCCATTGGTCAAGAAGCTTGTCAGTCTCGAGCTGAGTCCCCAGCTGTCTCCTTACCATATAGGGGTGTGTCGTGACGTAGCACACAGCCTGATTGGTAGTGAACAATTTCGTCAAAAATTATACCTAATGAAACAAATTAAAATACATATAAACATGTTAAGAAATATATCCTGGTGCTTGTGATGCTTGTGGCGTTTGCTTGCCCTGAGACCACAGAGATGGTGAGGAATGTCAAGAATTATCATATTTTTATTACTTTTGTGTGTGCAAATTTGTGTTTTAGCATTGTTGAATTTTCCCTGTTAAATTTGTAACTCCACATTTTTCATCATTCATAATTTATGATTTACCTATACATAATATGTGAAAGTTTCAGTATCCTCTACTCTCACTTTCTGATCTCTCTGTCCTGGAAACTGGGGGTAATTGATAGTATACACAAGAGGTTAGTGAAAAAATATTTTCACTTACCAACTCCTCTGTGTTCATGGTGTATATGGAGACAGCACAGCTAATTTGCCTACTTGGAATAAACTAAGAATTCAGTGAGAATGACCGGGCCCTGTGGTGTTATATTAAGTAACCCCCGGGAGGTTTTATTATAGCACTTCAATCACCACTCTGTATTTAGGAGTTATTCTCTTCATGTATCAGTCTCTTCCGTCTCTTTTCATTTCCCTGGATGGGCCGTGAAGGACTTGGATTATGGTGTATTATTTATCAAGAGCACACCAACTGGACTTTAGGCAATTTGGCTGTTATAAGGATCTAACCTATGACTTCTCAGTTCAATAAAAATCCATGTTGGCAACATTCCAGTGACTAATCCATAACTTGCTGTGTGATACAGGCAATGACATAAATGAGACAGGCAACATTAACCCCTTTCTGACAGGTGGAAATAAAGGCAACAAGAAGCCTGCTTATTAGTGGCTTTGAGCTCTTTGTGAAAGGATTAGGATGTTTCAAAGCTTGCTTTCTTTGCTGTATGAAAGGAGGATTTTAAAAAGCCGTCCTTCTTATTCATCATGTCATTTATAGCATATTGTTATTTTTACATTTTTCACATCGTTACAGAGACCTGCCCCATCAACATCCCGGATCAAGCACTCGGCAGGTGGTCTGAGCTGTCAGGGCAAGACCAAACTACAGTTTTATTCCTTCCAAAAGGAGTTAGATCAGCGGAATAAATGGTTGGCTTCAATCAGAAGGGACCACTGGCAGCCAACATCCAACTCCAGATTGTGCAGTCAGCAGTTTGGCTGTGTCCGAAATCACCCACTACTCACTATATAGTGGACTATATAGTGAGCTCACTATTTTGTAGTGCTGTCTGAATGTATAGTGATAATTCTTACACCCTATATAGTCCACTCAATGTATCCCAGAATGCATTTTGAAAAGTAGTGTAAAACCAATGGTCACTAACCAAGCCCTATATTCCATCATGTATTGCGCTGATAGAAAAAAACTGATTGTCCAACGGCAATGACGTAATTAACGGCGCCGAAATAATGATCGGAGTAGTGTCTGAAAGTGTTGTTTTAACAATGTGAGTGAGCTCACTATATAGTGCTCTAAATACAGCTCCCTACATAGGGGGTATGGAGTAGTGAATGAGTGGGGATTTCGGACATAGCCTTTGTCTCCGGTAAACACTCAATCTAGCTTAGTTAATTAAAATTTTTGTCTTTTAACGTTAGCCCCATTTGTCATATAAAACACATAAGCATGGTTAGCAGTATCAACAAATTAAACACACCATTAGCCTGTTTCTGCATTATTTTAATGTTAGCTAAATTAATGTTAAATTCAAGGACATCCCTTGACAAGATGGTGACAGTGTGCTGTGCCCTTAATAATATTTAATATAATATTTGCCCATCTTTGGTCCCCAGAGATTAGACAGGCAGTAGTTGTGTGAAGTGGATACATTGAAATATTCCACCTCAAGGCAATCATTTATTAAAGTAATACCCCTCCAGTTTTAGTTACTTGGGTCTATTGCAGTCGAAATACTCCTGTAAGCTCTGAAATACAATGCAGAACCAAGTATTATATGTTATTATTTTCTGCACAATCTATGGTATTTGAATATGTATGATTCAGTGTTGTCAGATGAATGTGTACACAAATACGTGACTATGAAAACAAAAGAAAAAAGTGGGGTTTTTTTTCAGAATTTTACTAATATTTATAATGTACTACTGAGCAAAGATCAAGCTTCATTTGTACTTGGACAGCATCATTTATATACACAAGACATTTGACAGATGTGTAATCTCACAGTAAAATGGGTCACATAGTATCTTGCAAACAAGAGCTGTCAACATAGGGGACCACAGGGGAGTTTAAAACCACATAAGATATGTTTTCATTAAGTCAGTGACATTCCAGGAGTGTCTCTAAGACAAATTGCTCAAAGATATGCCAGTTACACCTTATTTTGGAAGTGGTATGACGGTGCTTGTGCCATAGTTTTATTCTAGCAAAAACGTCTTATTTTTATAACAATTCAAACCACATATAGTTATGAAACATATATACATATCATTTAAATGACTTAGTAGGCCAACAAAAATTCAAGGTAGCCACTGAGATTTGATTGACAAAACCACTTTGTTTGATTCATGTATCTTATTAGTATATTTTTTTTACCAGTGGGATTGTGTTCATCTACTATACACACACGGTTTTAAATATGTCACCCTTTTGATCTACTGGAAGGTACATATTAGCATATGAGACCACAGAGATTAGTTTAGATAGCTAGTGTCACGATCCTGTCCTGAGCGTGTCTGGGTTTCAGTCTGTGTGTCTTGTTGCGGAGTTTGGGTTTTTGTTCCATGTCTGTGTTCCTAATCCTGTGCCTTAGTTCATGTCTTAAGTGTTTACTCCTGGTCTGTGTACTTCTGTGTTTTGCCCATGTCTGTCCTGAGTTCTGTTCAAGTCTTAGCTTCTGTCTGTGTTCCTTGTTGTTGTGATCTGTCCGCTTGTTTATATTACTCTGATGTTTAGTGTTGAGTAACTTGTGTTTTGTCTTTTCCCCCCTCAGTAATCGGCCTGCCTGCTAGTCTCTGTTTTCCCTTCTGTCTCTCTGCCTCGTTAACCCTGATCCCAGTCACCTGTGTTGCTCCCGCCCTGCTCGTTAATCACTGTGTATAAATGTCTGGTGTTTCTGTTCATTCCCTGTCCGGTCATTGTCTCATGTCAGTCCTGTCGGATGTCGCATGTATACCCTGTTGTATTAAGTTGCTGCTCTTGGATGTTACCAGTTTCCTGTACCTGGGAGTTCTGTTTGTCATGCTTGGGATTAATAAATCCTGGAACTCAATCTCAGCTCACAGTGTCATGCGTTTGGGCTCTCCCCTGCTTTGCGCACCCAGTGATCCTGACAGCTAGTGTCTGACATGTGCTGCTTACTTCCTGCGTGGCACAGTAAACCATTTACCCAACAACTCTGGTAGTATCCTGGTTTTAACGAAGTTAACCACCTTCAACTATGCCTCATCAAAAAATGTGCCGGTAAACAGGATCTGCTGAATAAAAAGCTCTTAAGGTGTCCACACAACAAAATCACAGTCTGTAACCTCTGCTACGCGCATTTGGGCCTGCACTTGATACATGTAAGTGTGATCTAGCTTTAGGCTCATCACACCTTCCCCAGTGACAGGCAGAACCATGAGTCTTTGACACATTCACTTGAGTGCGACCTTTTGCACTGAAAGGACACTTAATCTCTAACATGCCTGGCTCATGGCAAATACAGGTCACCACACCATCTGGTGATGCTCCAATCCATGGCAGCTCTGGGTTGATGATAAGCTCTGATGCAGCAAAGTTGAGGTCTGGATGGAGATCCTGCATCGCCATCAGGTACAACTCTCTGGCAGTGTCCTCATTTTCAAGACCTCATCTGATGAAAACAACACAAAAGTAAATATATATTCTCTCTCTCTCTCTCTCTCTCTCTCTCTCTCTCTCTCTCTCTCTTCAATCAAAGAAGAAGATTTTTCTATCCTGGCTGCCTCATAGAATGACAATGCAGTAACTTTTCCTGCTCTCTGATCAAACCCCACTCTTGACTTTCTCTGTTCCCTGGTCTTTTCTTCAACTAACAAACAATCAAAAAATTATTGAACTATCTACTATACTATGCAGCTACTCTTAGTGAATTAGATGATGTTAGAGAGTGGTCAGCAGTGTTGGCAGATCCGAGTGTACAGTCTTGGGCATGTATCTGAAGGAATGGCCTTCGATGCCTGACAGGATTGCACTTTTCTTGGGCTTTACCTCTTGGTCTTCACTTTGGTGGAGTTGTGCACAGAAGAGCTTGAACTCATCGGTGGATGGTCTCATGTGCTGCAAATGGTCTTGAGTTGCAACTTGCTCTTGGTTAGCAAAAATGTTAGACAACTAATCATACTTAACTTTTTTTGTGCTTGGCTTTGTCGATGAGCATGGCTTCTCAGTGCATGTCTGTCCTTCTCTCTTGTCAACAGCAGCCAAAACTGTGTAAATCAGTACCACAGCGTGGAAACACACATGTCCCAACCTGGCCATGCATGTACAATGTGCCATCACCACTGTCTCCTGCACCACTATCCATGGACTTGTTTTTTTTGTGTTCGGAACCTGGGAACGATTTACGATTTAAGTGAAAAATGCAGCATCCGGAATAACTGTTGTTTAATTGAATAATTGAACTTGTGTGGTAGTCTGTTTCTTTAAAGATTAGAAAAGGCATGTGGCCATCACCAGCTGGGATTCCATTCAAAATTTAACTAACCATTGTGCACTACTCCTTCTTTGATTAGGAGAATGTTTATTATTTACATACTACAGCTGATTGAAATGCAGTAATTCGCATTTTTGTAATAGCTGATATTTCATTAAAGTGCATAAAATATGCAAAGGACTTGGATGAAAACCCAGTCTACAT